AAATTGATAATATGCAAAAAAACTGCATATGTTACGATGAATATGTAATGGTATAAAGTTATGATAACAATCATGATATAATATTAGCCATGATATGATATCATCTATGGTATAGTATAATCCACGATATGATATTATCTATGATATGATATCATCCATGATATGATAATCATTATCGTCGTATTCTTATTTGAAATATTCATTATTATTTCTTATTAAAAAATTCTAGCTATTTTTTCGATAAATTGTCCATTAATTAATATTTAATCTCTCAATTTAATTTAATGTAATTTAATTTTGTTTTTTTTGAATTATTTATGAAATTTGCTTTCATAAATATATTTTAATTAGCAAATTCATTGATGGAAAATTTTCTGTGAAATATTTGTCACATAAATTTTGCAATTTTACGCAGCCATTTTTATTGTTTATTCAATTGCATTAATTTCATAATTTAAATAATATTAATTTAGAAAAAAAAAGAAAACAAATAAATGATCCAATTTTTTGCTTTTTTTTCAAATTTTTCTTTTAGAATATATCCAACAAGCACCTGAAATTTTACAACTTATCTTAAAAACAAAATTTTTACCGCATGGTTCACAAGCAGCAGATATATATGCTCTTGGAATGATACTCTATCAAATATTATTTCAATTAGAACCATTTCATGAACATTCTATTCCTATTAGAGGTTAATTTACATTTAAATAATTTTAGATATTGTATTTTTATTAAAATAATATTCAACATAATTGTTTTAGCAAATAATTTCGATTAATTAATATTTATTTCAATTAAATGATATTTCTTTTCAAATTTGTTTTTATTACATTTTTTTGTATTCTTTGAATAAATATTTACGAAATTATTTATTTTAATAGAGATAAATTAAATGAAACAAAATTACATTTTTATTCGACAAAAATTTATTTCAATTCTGTTTATTGAACTCATTTTATTTTATTTCGTTCAATTCAAATCCATGATTTAATTCATTTAACTAAATTTATGATTCCAAAAATGATGAATAATTTTGTCGTATATATATATTCTCATAAAACAAAAAATAAAAAGAAATTTGAATTTAATATAAAAATTTGAAGTTTAAATTTAAATTTAAAGAACTATTTGAAAAAAATTGTTCAAATTATTATCATTGCAGAATTATTGACCAAATTAGCAGATAGTATTGAAGGTGGTTGCATTCGACCAACATTTCCATCAGCTAACAATGATTCATCTTACAGTCTTCAATTACTATCTACCATCGAGGTAATTTTAAGTTACTCAGAAACAATTTATATATTAAATTATATATTAATTGAATTTAAAATTCATTAGCTGAAATGATGGAAATTTTTTCAATTTAAAATTAAATTGGCTGAAAGGATGAAAATTAAAAGTTTTGTTTGAAGAGAAAAAATTTTTTGGTTGACCATATTTTGCTTTCATTTGTCTGCTTTTTTAAATTATTTTACAAATTTTAAATTTTTTCTGAAAATTTAATTACCAAAATTAGTTTTTCATTTCTATTAGATTTATATGCATAGAAATATGTTTAGTTTCTTTGTTTTTCTCATTTTTTCCAATAATTCATCCCATATTTTGATAATTATCATTTTGAAATAAGTTAAAATTATAAGACATTTCCAGTTTGTACAAAATAATTTAATTCCTGTTTACATAATAAAAATGATATTGTCAAGAATGTCGTCGTACAAAATTACTTTCAGGTATACTATTTAGAAATTCCGGAAATATAACGAAAATAAATTACAAAAACAACATTTAGGCATGCTGGCTAGAAATTCCGGAAATGCGACCAAATATCAAGAAAATTAAAGAAGTCATTAATGCAACGTTAAAAACAACGTAGGAAATTTTTCCTTTTTCTTCGTCATGTTTATAAAAAGAAATGATGATGTTAAAATTAATGTTAGTTAATGTTAAAATTAATAAGTTAAAATAATCTAACAGATATTTACAATTAATTTTGCTAATTTATTCTAATAATATTCACAATCAATTCATTATTTTTCTTTTTACTCTTTCAAAATGTTCTTTGGTCTTAAATTTCATAAAATATTTTAGGGTAAAATTGTTTGACAAAAAAAAAGAAAGTACACTTATATCACTTGAAGGATTATTCAATTAATTTATTATTACAAATTAAATTTTAAATATTGCGAAATTTTGTAAAAAATCGATAAATTGCACTTCAATAGTATTTGTATCTCATTGATATTCCTAGAGAGAAAAAAAAAAGGAAATGAAAAATGATAAGTGGATTAAAATAAGCATCATTTTAGCAGATGACAATTATATGTATCATTTTAGCAGATGACATCATAAGCATCATTTTAGCAGATGACAATCATAAGCATCATTTTAGCAGATGACAATCATATGTATCATTTTAGAAGATGACAATGAACCGTAAGCTTTTTTTCAAATATTTTTTGGAAAAATATTATTTCACTGATTGTTCTCTAAGAGTTATTAATCCTGATAAAACATACTATTTCAGGAAAACTGGATCACTTTTGGATCAAATGATGGAAATGATGAATGAAGTTCATTTTTATTTCTTTTTATTTTTTTCTTTAAAAAGAGAAAAGCAAATAAATTATTTGATTTTTTTTAACACTTATATTATACTCAGGATGAGATGATAGTAATTGATGTATACAAGCATTCCCGGGAGAAAATCCCGATAATAATATTTGGGATAATAGTAATTGATGTTACATATATTCTCGGAAGAAAACTCCAATGATAATAATAATAATAGATGCTACAGTAATAGTTGTTAATGGTATTCCTGTAAAGAAAACTTAAATAAAAAATGAAATGAAAATTGAACTTTATAAATTTTAAAAATTTAAGAACTCATTACAGTATACTGCAAATTTGGAAGTAATGGTAAAAAATCGGACAGCAATGTTAGAAGAAACACAACAACAAGCTGATCGATTACTTTACAGTATACTACCAAAGTTATTATTGCTTTTTTTTTTTTTTACTTTTATTATTTTTAACTTTTTATAAAGTTTCAAATAATTTATAATGAATTAGTAAAAAAAAAAGAAAAAGAACATTTGCTATGTTATAATACTAATAAATTAATTTATTCTAATTAACTTCTAATTATTTAAAGATCAATTGCGGATGATTTAAAAGTAGGCAAACATGTACCACCACAATTGTATCCATGTGCTACCGTACTTTTTTCGGATATTCGTGGATTTACACGATTATCATCCATTTCAACACCATTTCAAATTGTTAAATTTCTCAACGATCTATTCAGTGGTTTTGATGATATCATTTCCAAACATGATGCCTATAAAGTATGTCATTCATTTCATCATTCATTCCATGGAAATTATTGATATTTGAATTTAGATATGACTAAAAGATTCATTAAATTATTAATTTATAATTAATTAACTTTAGAAATGTATAAAGTATGTTGTATTTCATTTTACCAAATGCCATTTTCTCATTTTTTTTTTTTTTGTTTTTTGTTTTTG